ATTTCTTGAAAAAAGAACACGTGAGAAAGGGGCCGTGTGTCATATAGTAATTTAATGAAGGATTCCAGTACATAGACGTTGGTCTTACATTCGGAATCAAACTATATGTGTGTCTACTTTACGTAGCAGTATTCTACGATATCTTGCCAATATTTTAAAGTAAGTTTCGGTTTGTATTTGAATTTTGAACGAGGTCATGGTAGGATGATTTGAATACCATCTTGATGAAGAGCTAATTCCTTCAACTAATTAATATATCTGCTTGATCAATTACCAAAATGGTCACTATTTCTTTGACCATGAAATTTCAGTTTTGTAGTTTGGATTTAAAGCACGAAGAGAATTTAAGTTGGAAACTAATGGAGAGGAAGATAAGGGATTCTTAATTCCTAAAATAGCATCGTAGGAGTCAGAATATATGTTAAATCGTTGAGACTTTTAAAGGATGGCTATTTCAATCACTGCTATTATTTTATGATATTTGAACGGACTATCTGAAAACAGAATGTTGAATCAACTTTTCCTTCAATTTTTGATCCATTACTTTATGCAACTGGAGATGAATTGTATGAATTTTTAGTAGATATGGAAAATTTATTTATTGAAGCAATGAGCTGGATGAATAAGTTCGAGATTACTTTTATTTTCATAGTTGGATGGTAGAAAATGTAGTTGCTGAATTCTACAGTTTGATGAAGTTAAAGAACTTTCATGTAGGTGCTTACCATTTCTGCATTGATTGATTGTAGGAGAGTACCAGCTAAAGCATCAAGAGCTGTATTTGAAGTTATGAAATACGCTCTATTAATTCATTGGGTAAAAGACTTTTGAATTGAATTTAAATATTTAATCTTCTTTGCTGTTATTGATTTTGCCTAAATTCTGGCTCCACAGTTTAGCATTTTTTATAAAACTGCTTTTACAATAATGTGTGTTAGTTGAAGATTTAAGCCCAATTACATCCATGTTTCCGTAGCAGGCTATTAACTACTGAAATCATACGAAGTTTAAAATTTGTAAATGAGAAATTCAGGAAAATTTCTTGCCTGCTGTTCACCCAAGGTATCTGATTGTACTCATAAATCTGATCTTTTCATTAGCAATTTTTAGAGCCAAAGTTTCGGAGATGTTTTGTCCTCGTTTCTAGACTAAAAAGACTTACTAATGAAATTTGCAGCTTTTGATTCTTGCATAGTTAAATATCTGAAGTGTCACATTAAAAGTATCTTGTAAAATATGCCTGCTTATAAGAAGTGCATCATCCTCTGCGAAAGCGAAAAAAGTTTAGTGGTTTGTTCATGGATAGCCAATGATGCTCTTGAAACTAGTATTCCAGAGGTTTACGATCATGAAAGACCCCTAGTTACATTCCCTGAGTGGATTACGCACTATTTCAATGTTGCTGTAAAGAATCATACTTTTTCTCTTTAATAATTAAGAACAAATTTTGAAAGCAGTTAAAGCACTGATTCTCAACCTTTACGAAGCTGCCTCCCTTCTAAGGAGAAAAAAATTTTTCAACACCCCTTTGTGAAAATCCCGTAATTTAGGTATGGGAAAGGGTGTTTCCTGAATTTTAAAAGGCAAAAATTTTAAGTAATTTTTTAGTTGACTTGCAAGGTATATTTTAATTTTATAACAGTTGTTTTAATTTAGAAGTGCTTTCCTACCAATTCTTGTTTCCAATTCCGATGAGTTTTTAGAATCGGTTGAATGCAAATGAGTTAAAAGGAATATTCAAGGGAGGTTCAACCTACTTTGACAGAAAGCGCTAAGAATCGCGGGTATCGCATGTGTGCCTTCGGGCTAAATCTTTCTTGTAGCTGTTGCGCTCGATCACATATTGCGTGCCTTTTGATATTCGCCGGCTAGTTTAAATTAAAGGCCAACTAAGTTAGATAACTGTGTGAGCTTCGACTAAATCTCTTAGTTAGATACATTTAGCATTTATTTCTTATTTTTGAGTTTAAGCCCAAGTGGAGGCTTTGTTGTAAGCCCGAGAAAGGGGCCAACGGTTCATCTTATTTGGATTGAAATAAAGGATAGTGAACCTTAAGTTTACCTCTTCAGTTATTTGAACTCAGAGATAAGTTGCTTAACAGTTCACTAGCTTCCTCGACATTTAAATAAAAAGAGTGAGGAAACCTATAAAGACTTACACACCAGATTTTTTTATTTAACTCGATAGTTTTGCCTGACATTCCTTTCTTTAAAACTGAAATTATTGATGGGATAAACATTTGCTTAATCGATGTTTCATGTTTAAATATTTTTTATTCTTAATTAAATAATTAAAAAAGAGCAGAAAAGAAAAGTACACTAAAATAATAATATCAATGAAATAATCAAGTAGTGTGGTATCTGTGAATAATGGTTCAGAGCCAGTTTCTGAAAGCTCCGTTCAATATTTTTAGAGAGATGAAGGCGCAAATCCCCTCGTTCCACGATTTGGAGTCGAGTCCTCTTTTTTGTATCAACTCTTCACCCATGGTATGAGCTTTTCCCAAATTAACTATTCCTTTTGATATGTAAGAGGCTATCAAACCATAGTCGCACTTTTTTGATGAGGTTGCTAGTAACCCTGAGACAGAGGGAGGCTTCGGAAAATTGGCTCTGATGTTCGGGAAAAACGATAAATCTTTATTTTGTTTCTCAGGATGAATATTTTGCATATTCGTCTCACCATTCTTAAAATTGCACGAGGGAAGGCCGTCGTGTAAGTTTGTTTTATTGCTGCTGCAAATGGTGTAAATCGGATAATCGATTTAACAAATTTTTTGGTGAGTTTATAAAATTAGGTTCGAATGACAAAACAATGCTTAACGTCCCCTACCACCCAAAACATGCTCGCCACCCCTGCCGCCCCAAGTTCATCGCCCCTCAGCATCCTTCCACTCCCCCTGGGAGGCTGTACTGTCCCCAATGAGAATCAATGAGTTAAAGGAACCAACGAATATAAAACTGTTGGCCACCATAAAAAAAAAAAAAAAAAAAAAAAAAAAAAAAAAAAAATATCAAAGGCTGAATTTTAAGACGAAATTAAGACAAGTACAGTAAAAAGTGAACGGGAAGCCAGAATTTCACTATTGGTCGTACAGGTACAGTCCCGCCACACTAACTATGCAGTTCCGCCTCAGTTTTGCTGGAGACCATCCCTTTGGGGTGGTTCGGGGATTTCCACACCTCTTTCTCTACCGCCAGCCTCTTGAGAGGACTTTTGCTCTCTTTTTTGTGTATTGAGTGCTCCTTTGCCACAGAGACACTATACACTTACAGATATTCATGCCTTCTCCGGGACTCGAAATAGGGGTCATTGGCACGGTAGCCAGCATCACTAACCACTATACCGACTGAGCACCTATGGAATTAGTACAGTGCGGCTCAACTCTAAAACATAAACTCAGTGAAGAAGATATTCCCGAATTTTACAAAACTTTGACTATGCGGCTGCCAGAAATCCGCAGATTTGCATCGTACGTGATTTTCATGTGGAAGAGGAAGTGAGACAAGAAAAATGTGCACGTATTCAAAAAAAAAAAAAAAAAAAAAAAGTTGAAAGTGTTAACAATATTACTGTTTTAAATAATGAAAGTAGTTTTCACGAATTCACAATCGGGCATTAAAATTAAGTCAAGCATTACGTTTGAAAAGAAATATCAGATAGCCAATATTTTATGGAATTCCCAACTTTATTTCCTAGAAAATTTAATAAATTATGAAACACCAATCATATTTCAAATTTGCAAATTACTATGAACTTTTAGATAGTCCTAAATGTATTGAAAAATGAATTTCAAATTATTTTATTACATCGTAAACGGCAACAGACTCATTATCTTCCTCCGTCATCCTCTTAAAAGCATTAATTGCTCCCTTTATTAGTTTAAAATTATTTCTGTCTCTACTAGTATCAAATGAACTCTTTGCCTTATTCCCCGTGAACATCGTTTCTTATTTCGGGTATAATATTAATCACTCCTGTTTATATCATTTCGTGGGTTTTTATAATTTTATTCATTCATTATCTTAAACTATTCTTTGTCAAAAACATGGAAAAATCAATTTGATTCGATTAATTTTAATATTTTCAGTATCTCACACTTGAAACAAAAAGTTTTATATCTGGCAGTTTTAAAAAAATGTTATACTCTTAAATTAATATACAGATACAATATTACAAATATATATATAATATATAACGCGTAATGACACTTAAAGTAATTATCTCAACGCATTTTATCTTCTGCCATAAAATTTGAAAGAGTGTATTATTTCCTTTAGGAAAATCTATATAGGAATTAATTATTCGACTTTATTAGTTGATTTTTACCTTCTCTTTTAAAGAATTATTTTTAAAAACACTGATAGTAATTTTCATATTGCTTAATATTTCTTTAATGTAAAATATATGTTGTTGTCATAGATTAACCCGCCAATACCCATTTATTCAATACTTGAACAACTTGCGCAGACTGCATACAGGATATTTCACGAATTCATCAGACAGAAAATGGGCATCCTTAAGAGTAGTCAGGAGTAACAAAATACACTTGTAAAATCAGAAACATATATTATGCATCGAATTAATATTGGCAAATATTGGCGACTTCCAAACAGAGGCACGTCCCTTTGGCAACCTATGTTCATCCCCCACATCACCCCATCTTCAGAACGGGGCAAGTATGGGGTGTTTGCTCATCCATCACGCTCTCGTACCCACGAGTGGAGGGGAAAAAATGAGGGGTATCAGGGGGAAGTCAACACTGGGCCTTGCAGAGTCAAATGGCCAATCTAAATCGCGTGGCATTGTTAAGCGAACTGCATTCATCATTATATAGGTTTGTCAATAGATTTCGAGAAATAGGCATCACTTGGTTACACCATCTGCTCTTAGGTAGCCTTTAGAAACACGATACGTCTAAAGTGAAGTGGGTATACTGTTCGAGTGATTTGCTCTGTCCCGACTTAAGTGGATGTGTCACGCGACTGAGGTTCCTTCGATGGCTTTCAAGCAGGTCCGAAACAGAGCATCGCTTTTCCGTCCTTGGGCTTTTGGGGATCCTCATCCTCTTACACCACATAAAGAAGAAAACAGAACAGAACAACCTACTTTAGAAACCGATTTAGATATCAATAAATTATTACAGAAAAGTTATAAACACGATAATGAATTATATCCAAATATTTCAGCAGAGCTAAAAAATTATCCAACTAATGAAGATAAAAGACTTTTTACTCCATCAGCTTTCAAGGCTGCATACGTACCACGTCCTTCCATATCATTACCAGAAGAACCGAATCTATTTGAGACCGTTCCAATGACTGGATCTACTCAAGTGATGAACATTTTGACAGACTTACCTCTTTTACCTCAGATGTCAATAAACGATATTCCTCATGGAGATAATACAAAAGTTAAAACTCAGATTTCTTGTCCATTTGACCTCGGTTCCGAAATTTCCTTCCCGGTGGCACCAGGTATTAGTCAACTTTTAGAACAGCCAAATGTTTCTAAGTGGAGATCGAAAAAGCAAAGACCAAAAAGATTTCAGTGTCCTCACTGTCAGGTTTCATTCAGCAATAATGGGCAATTAAAGGGACATATTAGGATCCACACAGGTAAGCATACATCTAAATATTTTAAATTACTTCGAGATGACAAGCGTTCTAAGATCACGGCCGTTTTCTTAATACTTTCCAACATTAAGATGGATTGTAAGAAGACTTCATACTTATCGCGACTTCTATAAAATTACACAAGATTTCTTTAGTTATATATGCGTGCTTGCTCAAGAAAAGAGTGTAACTAGACTCCTACTGATTTTGCTAAAAATAATTTATTTTACATACCCACCATTTCTGCTAAATGATATAACCATTCTAAAATACAAGATTTTTTAAAGGTTTCTCAGAAAATGAACTGCTAATGGTCTAAAAAAATTAAAGGTTACATTCTTTAAGAAACTTAAAATTTAAATTTTCTACAGATTAAGGTGTAAAATTTCTCGCATGAGACAATACTGAAGACTCAAGCTTTCATTTTTATTTTCAAATCATTTGTCTTTTAATGTTAAAAAGGGTTCTGTGGGATTAATTATGAAGGATTAATATAATATAGACAGCGATAATTATTATACCAAATTTATTGCCTTTTTAGTCAGAATGTGATGCTTGTTAACTAAACTAAAATAGTTTAAACATTAAGTAAAAGCTTCTTTCTCCAAATAATTACTTTTGAAATCAAGAACTGCTTTATTCTTGAAATCAATATTTCTAGTATAAAATTGCTTCTTTTGAGTGTTTTTATCTGGGATGTGTAACACTGGGACTTAGGAACACCTTTTCGAAAACAGAACCAGAGATCTATGCTTATGAATAATTACTTAGATAAGGAAAATTTCCGTTTGAAATTGAATTATATGTACTCATTAATTTTAAATCCTTTATATATTAATATATATAACACATTTACAAAATGATCATTTATATCAAAATCTTGGTATAAGACGGAAATAGCTTGCAATCTTTTTTGTAGGTGATAGGTTTGCTATTCGACAATAAGCTAATAGACATCGTATTTTGCATGTTGGCATTCATATAGCACATTGATTTTTTACATAGCAAGATTTTTCATCGTAATATAAATGTTTGGTTTAATCCTCATTTTAAGAATTGCCTTATATTAAATCAGCACCTTTTTAATGAGTAAAAACTGAGATATTCAGCAATCTTATGTACTGGTTATCTGTATTTGCAAGATAAAAAAGTGTCAGTAAAGTAATACCTCTAACTTTTCTACCAGATTTTCACATAAATGTTAGGAAACTGTAGACAGTTGGAAGGGAAATATTAATAATTGGATAAAGCGGCAACTATCTGAAACTATATTTCCAAAAGCACTCCATTTTGTTAGTAATCAAAGCTAATAAAAGGGAAATATAGCTACCAAGTCAAGCCGTGTAGTAAATTATAAGAAAATGCCACTAATAATATTTCTACTGTAACTATTCATGTCGCTTCGTAATCAGCAAGTTGTTTTACATCTGCTCATATAGTTTCTTAAGGTTAATTGGTCATATAGTTTCCTAATATTTAATAGCAGCAGAATACTTTTCACATTTCTTAATGAAGTGTGTCTCAAATTAAAATTTCTGTTATGAATGAAATCACTGCTCGTTTCTGGTGTCATTTATAGTTTTCGCTGAGATAATTCTTGGAGGATAAGAACCAATGCGAAAAATATATTTCTTTTTTATGCACCATTTTACCATTCCTCATGACATCAAGCATAATTTTATGTATGATATTAATCAGATACCAGCTCTGAATAAGATCATGTTGCTCAATATTAAGCATTTCTGAGTTTAACCGTTCATAGATATTACAAACAAATGATATGAAGGAAAATAGGGATATATTTTTCGCGTTTATACTTTACGCAGTACTCGGTGAATTTTACAATTGCCATTATCCTGTTTTCTAATGCAAACTAATATTTATTGCGGTTAAAAAAAAGACCCGTTACATCTAGTAAATTCAAAGGACTTTGACTGTAAAATAAGGTCGAATAAAATTTTATGAATCGAAGTTGTAGCAATAGTTCTGATTTTTAGTCTACTAAAATTTTACATTGTTTCTTTACTCAATTGCTTTATTAGTTATCCAAATAATATTTAAAAATGAATTCCATCTTATTAGGGCACTTAAAAGTTATTATTATTATTTTCGATTTCCGTTAAGCCATCAAATACAAACTGGAAATCCTTTACTGGAATATTTTTAATTCCACTGGATTTTGAATAATAGAAAAAAATGTAAATAATAAAATTTTTAGGAAACGAGGCTAGTAAATTTAAGCCCGATTGTTGTTTTTAATTTGACGCAATAAGCATATAAATGAGCAGTAAGCTTTAAGCTGCAGATCATGTTTGTTACTCAGATTAATGTCCTCTTCCGGTATCCATTTACAGTTGTTCGGTGTTGCAGCCTGAGGCAGGTTTTGGTCGTCGTTCCCTATGCCTGGTTAACAGCCCCCAGTTATTGACCTTAAAGTATCTGAACACACAATCTAGACACTTAGTACATGATTTTCCGCTTTTCCTTGCTCCTTAGGTATTAGAGGGTTATATTTTTACTAAGATTTAGTTTTTAGATCTGGAAATGTCCCAAATGTTAAGATCCTAAGCACTGGATTATTAACAAAATTCATTGTTTTAAATTTCCCATTATCCCAATAAAGTAAGTAAGTAAATATCTCATTTCTTATTACTGCATTATGCTTTTTGTATATCAATACTTCTAATGACTAAATATTTCTCACGTTATATTTTGTTTATTATAAATCTAACAAATTTCCTAAGTAAAGTCTTACGAGCAATCTTATTCATCATCCTTTACGTTTTACAGAAAACTTTTACTAACCCTTGCAATTTTGGGGAAAGACTTAACTACATTCTACATTTACTTAACTTAAAAACTGTTAAAATCATATATCATGTCGTAACTTTTTAATTAATGCATTTTCATACAGATGAAGTTCTTTTGATTATCTGACGAGATCATCCGGAATCTTCGTAGTCTTAGAATTTTGATAAACTTTTCTTCTTCAGAGGCATGACGTTATAATGTTTCAAAAAACAGAATTTGAATATACGGGCCGATTTTAATGTACAAAGGAAATAAGTCAATGCTAAGTGCTGCTGCATCAAAATTTTGTTTAGGATATGCTTGATTTAGATTTTCGCAGCCAAGAAAACTGTATAACTTCTAACCACAGTCTTTTCATAAAAATTCTCAGCCATAAATGTACCCTATGTTATGTATACTATCTGACAGCCCAATAGATAGAAGAAATGTCAAATACTTTCACCAGAAAAGAGATGATGATGTCAATCGCTATTTATAGAAATGTAATATGCTAACTGCTGCTAATTTATGTATTCATGATTACCACTGATAAAAGCCTTTGCTACGAACAAATGCTTATAAAACATTGCTTCGACTTATATGTGAGCCTAAATTAACACAAAGAATTAAAATACAAAGATAAAATAAAAACACTATACAAGCAACTATAAGAATAAGGAAAAAAAATCTGTCTCTCTGTGTACGAGTATGTGTCCTACGAGTAAAAATATCATAATGCTTTGTAAGATATTTTCTGGTAATATGCATTTCTCGTGTCTGTCAAAAAAACTTATATTCAAAATGCGCTTGAATAAGTAACTCTAATGTAAGGTAAGCCTTTATAACATGTGAATGATGTATTTTATTCTTTTTTTCATTTCATGTGCCCCAATATTGATTAATTTAAAAATCTGTATTTCTGATCAAAGGGTTTATTTCTAGACACATTTATCGGGATTCTAACATGGAATCATTACCATTTCATAGAAAAAGGAATAACAGATCCTCTTTCACGGATAACTTCACATTCTGAAATCTATGTCTGTACAAGTTTATATTTAGTAATAATTGTTTAAACTTAAATGTAAATTCCAAGAATATGCTATTAATGCTATTTTTATCATTTGTTCATTACTCTCTCTTCGCTTCTGGCGTTAAATGATGAATTTAAATTTTTCGTTCATTCTGTCAAATTAAATGCAGATAAAAAATTATTTTTACTCTCAGGTTACATGTGAAGATAGTACTATTCGAAACAATTTTTTGGTACAAAAGTGCTAAAAATAAGTAAATAAAAAATGTGTTTTTGTAAGAATGAGATCCAAATCTTAAACAGATATAAATAAAAATAGAAGTTGGAAACTCTTAACTGCTTATTTACAATTTCACTATAAAGGTTAACTGAGAATAAATTAAATATTACAACAACTGTACATAACATATGCATTGCATTAAATACTCTTCTCCCGTTAAAAATTTATATTTATTAAGCGGAAGACCGTTTTGGATTTAAAAATAATAGACAAAGCTTGTTGTAGTAGGAAACAGGAATTCAAAATAGTAATTAAAATAAATAAAATAACAGTTTAAATAGTATTAAAGTAATATATATATAATTAAATAATAATAGAATAGTCAAAGAATAGATAAAACTCGTAAGAGCCATTGTAGAATTCAGATTTGCTTTAGGACACGATTGCCTATCTGCATAGTGGTCTCAAAATGGCGGTTCGCGGACCAAATGCGGATCTCGAAGCAATTTTATCGACCCGCCAATACATTCCACTTATGTATTTGTTGCAAATATCGTGTGGCAAAGATTTCAAGATTTTAGTTATTTGAGGTCCGAGTTCACATTATTATCATTACCATAACGAACGTAAATAACGCTTCAGAAAATCTATAAATGGAGCTAATTCACGTAAAATGTGTTATAAATCTTACTCAAAGATTTGAAGAGACAGATTCGATTTACTTTGTCAAAAAGTAAACACGCTCAGTTACGAAATTTTCACATTTTTTAATCGCTTTGTTTGAGAATGCATTTCTAGGCGAAGAGCTTTTTTTTTTTCACAGTTGAAAATTAACTAGAGAAGAACCCAATTGACCGATGAGCATCTACTGCCCACGATGCAAATAATGCTTTGTACTTTTTCTCCAAGTCTACAAAATTTATCAGAATCGAAACGCCCAAGCTGAAGTAAGAAATAAAG